CATGGAAGCTCTGAAAACAGCTAGCTTTAGCCCTATGTCGGTTTTGTCCGAGAAAAGATCAGAGCCACGAAAGCCCTTCTCGCTCCCAAACCTCTTCCCACAGAAATCACCGAAACCAATCTCACAAGAAAGCTTCTTCTTGAAGAGGTTTAATGGCGGATTAGCTCTACTAACCTCTGTTCTAAGCAGCACAACAGCTCCTGCTAAATCCTTGACCTACGAGGAAGCTCTGCAACAATCTATGACCTCTCCTTCATCTTTTGATTCAGACAGCTTTCTTGATGGGATATCAAGTTTCGTCACAGACAATCCTCTGGTTATTGCCGGTGGAGTTGCTGCATTTGCTGTTCCATTTGTTCTTTCTCAGGTTCTGAACAAAAAGCCTAAATCTTTTGGAGTTGAGTCTGCTAAGAATGCTTATACCAAGTTGGGTACTGATGATAATGCTCAGTTGCTTGACATTAGACCCTCTGCTGATTTCAGACAAGTGGGTAGTCCTAACATTAAGGGTTTAGGTAAAAAAACTGTTTCTACTGTTTATAATGGTGAAGACAAGCCTGGTTTCTTGAAGAAGCTTTCCTTGAAGTTTAAAGATCCTGAGAACACCACATTGTTCATTCTCGACAAGTAAGGCTCTCTTAATCTAAAAGGATTCCTCTTTGAGACTTTTTAGCTTCTTGTATTTTGAAAATCATAAGTTTTTGTGATATATATCTGATGCGAAGTTGCAGTTGGAGAGGAATTGAGAAGTATTTAGATTTCACACATTGTTGTTGTCATTTGTCAGTAGTTTAATACAGTCTGGATTCTGTGAATGGAAAGCCAGGTTTGATGGAAACTCCGAGCTTGTTGCTGAATTGGTGGCTCTTAATGGATTCAAATCTGCTTACGCGATTAAAGATGGTGCAGAGGGACCTAGAGGCTGGTTGGTGTGTGTTCCCCTTCCTCTCTTCCCTCCCAATGTTTGCTTTTTCCAGTCCTTTTCGATTCGATATATTCACAATTGTGAATGTTTTTTTTTTTCTGGTTTGCAGAATAGCGGCTTGCCTTGGATAGAGCCAAAGAAGACTCTCAGTCTTGATTTAAGCAGTTTGACGGATAGTATCAGCGGTGTATTTGACGTGAGTATACAACTTTTACGCTCATCAAGTTTCCGTAACAAACATTGGGAATTGATTTAACATATTTGTACAGGAGAGTTCTGATGGTGTATCTGTTGCTCTTGGAGTAGCTGCTGCTGCTGGATTAAGTGTTTTAGCATTTTCAGAGGTCGGTTTTATCTCTCTTTTCTCCATCTTATTTATGCTGGTAATTGAAATCGTATATTTTTCATCATCCCAACAGATTGAAACTATACTCCAACTACTAGGTTCAGCAGCACTTGTTCAGCTTGCAGGCAAGAAACTTCTATTTGCTGAGGTAAGTTCTTCCCATCTCTTCTTTCTTCGGGTTCTAATCCTATTTCTCGGTGTTGATGGTTCTTCTATATATCGTCTACAGGACCGAAAGAAAACTCTAAAACAAGTGGATGAGTTCTTGAACACAAAGGTTGCACCTAAAGAACTTGTTGATGAATTGAAGGTAGTAATAATTTTCGATATCTTCATCTCCGCCTTAGTAATGAAAACCTAAAGAACACCATTTTTATAAAGAAACCAATTTTGAAAAACAGGAAATAGGAAAAGCTCTTCTTCCTCCATCAACAAGCAGCAAAGCACTTCCCGCACCAGCAGAAAAAGTAGCACCAGAAGCAGCCACAACCACCACCGTCGATAAA